AGCTTCATCCTAGAGAGGCACCTACCAGATACCAGCCGGAGCTCTCCTGTATGAGGTGTCTCCCAGTCGGGGGACATGGTGGTCAGGGATCCACTTCAGGAGGTAGTCTGTCCCTTAGCAGAGCTCAAGAAGTGCTGTTCTGGAAAATTCACTGCTCTCTTCAGATCTGGCAGGCAGGAGTGTTTAAGGCTGCTGAAGCTGCACCCACAGCTGCCCCATGCCCCAGGTGCTCTGTCCCAGGGACATGAGAGTTTTATCTATAAGCCCCTGACTGGGGCTTCTGCCTTTTTTCAGAGATGCCCTGCCCAGAGAGTAGGAATCTAGAGAGGCAGTCTGGCCAGAGTGCTTTGCTGAGCTGCAGTGGGTCTTACCCAGTTCTAACTTCCAGGTGGCTCTGTGTATACTGTGAGAGGAAGATTGCCTACTCAAGCCTCAGTAATGCTGGCCCCTCTCCCACCACCAAGCTTGAGCATCCCAGGTCAACTTCAGACTGTTGTTCTGGAAGCAAGTATTTCAAACCAGTGGATCTTAGCTTGCTGGGCTCTGTGGGGTTGGGATGTGCTGAGCTAGACCAATTGACTCCCTGACTTCAGCCCCTTTTCCAGGGCAGGGAACAGTTCTGTCTCATTGATGTTCCAGACACCACTGGGGTATGAATCAACACTTTTGCAGCTAGCTTGCTGTCTGCTCAAGTGGCCACGCAGTTTTGTACTTGAAACTCAGGGCCCTGGTGGCATAGGCGTCCCAGGGAATCTCCTGATGTTAGGATTGTGAAGACTGTGGGTAAACTTATCTGGGCTGGAATGCACCATCCCTCATGGCACAGTCCATCAGGGCTTTTCTTGGCTAGGGGAGGGAGTTCCTCAATTCCTTGAACTTTCCAAGTGAGACAATGTCCCACCCTGTTTTAGCTTGCCCTCCATGGGCTGCACCCAGTGTCTAACCAGCCCCAATGAGACAAGCTGGGTACTTCAGTTGGAAATGCAGAAATCACTCACCTTCTGTGTTGATCTCACTAGGAGCTGCAAGACTGGAGCTGTTCCTATTAGGCCATCTTACCAGCCCATCACCTTTTCATCTGTATATATCCACATGTAACCTGGGATACATTTAGTTTTCTGGGAAGGTTGATTTTCAAGTGGTGTTTGACATTTCCTTGTTAAATAAGGCCTCAGAAAAAGTATCTTAACTAGAACTTGACATCTGTCTTTGGTTCAAGGACCTCTGCTGTACAGTCTAGAGAAGCTGGAACATGTTAATCATAGTTATTTTAAAGTTTATATGTGATATGGGGCTGGAGTTTCCTTTTGTGGGACATGTTTATAAGCCCAAAACATTTAATAATTGTAGGCTATTAACTAGATCAAGATTTTCTTTTATTTTTGTCAGTTTTATAGCCTGAAACAGAATTTTCCTTTTTGTTTATTTTTGAAAAACTGATTTCCTCCTGATTTTTTTCTGATTCATGGATTATTTTTAAATGTTACTTAATTTCTAAATATTTTGGGATTTTTAAAGATATCTTCATTTGTTATGGACTTCTATTTTAACTTTGTTGAGGTAAGAGAATATAATTATATTATTTCAAATTATATAAGCATGATACAGTCATCAAAACCAGAAAGATAATATTGACATGTTACTACCAGTGAATACTCTGCCTCCTTCCCAATTGTCTTAATAATATATTCAAAGAAGGATTATTCAGTTTAGAAATAATATTACATATTTGCTGCTTTGCTAGTGACTTTCACCAAATATATATATAAAAAAACTAATATAAGTCTTACATAAATTATTTTGAAAAATAGAGAAAGAGTGATACTCAACTCATTTTACTAAATCAGCAAGATCCTGATAACTAAACCAGACAATGATATTACAAGAAAAAAATTATACACTCATATATCTTATGAATGTATTGGTTGAATGAAAGAGTTGGTACCTTTATGAGAAGCAATTTTTTGCAGATAAAAACAGTTGACTCCGTGGAATAAACTTTCAGAAAATCTCATAGAAGCTGTTCTGCCTATGGAGTAACCATTCTTTCATTGCTCTGCTTTCTAAAAATAAAAAATAAATAAATAAATAAATAAATAAATAAATAAATAAATACACTTGTTTTCACACACAAAAAAGGAAATCATCATAGAAATTTGAGTACAGCTTGGTAAAAATACATTTGTATATGGGCAAGGACAGAAGCGAACCTAAAAGCAATTAATTGTATAAGAGTGCTCACACTAGGTGGTTATGTTCCTTCTTGGTATTGTGCCTATATTATTTACAAAAAATAATATATTTGGCTAAATTAAATATTTAAATTTGAAATAAAATTTATGTAACATAAAATAAAGAAAAAGAATCTATGTGTGATAACTGCAATATCTGAATCAGTGGGCTGTTTCTCTTTCTTAATGCATATTCTGTGACAATAAAAAAGAAGTGTATAAAACTCTCCAGGATTAGAGTTTTAATTCACGTAAATTAATTTTAATATACAAAAGTGACCAAAAAGCTACATAATCTGCTAGAGATATCTTAGTGAAATTAGAATTGTGTGTCCAAGAAAGCATGGTTAAAATCAATTATAAAGAAAATATTTTTAAAATCCATTGTAGTTTATATTTTCTCATTGATACACCAATTACCCACCTCTAAAATTAGCTCTCCTAAGTTTTGCCTTTATTACTTGGAATCTGAATGTGAAAGCTTTATTGATCACACTGCTTTTATTTCTTTTTAAATTTTTAAAATTTTCTTCCTGTTTCTATTTTATGGATATTGTTTAAAGTGTCCTGAACTTCTATTATTTCTATATACTGACTCCCACATGAAGAATATCTACATATGTCCTGTTGAGCAACTTAAAGCAAAATGCTTAGAATAACAGAACAGAAAGAAACCTTGCAAAAATAATCCAATGTCATCTCTACCTGCTTATATATACATAGATACATACGTGTGTGTGTGTGTGTGTGTGTGTGTGTGTGTGTGTGGTATGCCATGGCAGTACATGGTTTTCTTATGCATCATTATGCTATTGCAAAGAAAGAGGTCTTGATCTCCGTGTGTATTGATGAATTAAACATAATCTGTGCTTACTTTCAAGACATTATTTAGAGTCTGGAATGACAATTCCCTGATAGTTTCATTTTTCTAGTTTTAAATTAAAATATGACATTTTAGTTTTTGAACATCACTTAGATCTTGCAATTGAATGCACTTTGGATTGAGAAAATCATAGTGCTAAGAAAGAGTACTTAGTCCATTTCCAAGAAGCCTGTATTTTCCCATAAGTGTTGTTCATAGTATGAAACAAAGCAGCAATGAGTCATTATTAAGAAGCAATTACAGATTTCTGGGTTTTTTTTTTCTTAATTATATTTTAAAGCATGTCACCAGCTGTGGTTTCAAAATTCATATGATATATTTTAGTCTAGTTTGGGGTTTATTCTTTGTGTTTTGGTGCTGCAGATTCAAGGATCAGATTAAATAGCATCTCAAGTGTACAAAATGGGGTACAGAATAACACAAAAACATTCATAGCTTTCAAATACATATTTAATAATTATCAACTAAGTATCTTCTCTATTAGTAGCAATGTCCTATGTTGGACTTACTGGTATGACTCTTCTTTTGGCTCATCCCAGGTACACTTGCTGTATGATGATCATAAAATACTTCAGTGTCTCCATTTCTATTATCTCATGACAAAATGCCAGAGTTAATATTTTTGAACATATATGTTTATCTTATAATTGGTTAAGAAATGTTGACATCAAAAAACCAGGAGAACTAACTTATACCTATAACCTTTGACACTGTAAATGTAGAAAACATTTATCCTGTAAATGAAATTGTCCCAGGAACAATTTCCCTCACAATGTAGACAGTGTTCAGCTTTGAGTATGTGAAAAAAAGTAAGTGCTCTGCGTTTGCTGATTTATCAGTTTAACTGAAAAGAAATCTCATTATATAAGAGTGATACATTATTTATATCAGTTATAATTACTTATAAGTGGTAATAAATATACTCACAAATGGAACTAAAAAATCCATTGTCTTGTTGTTAATTGGCTTTCATAAAAGTCATTCTGTAAATCTAAGTATAATTAGCTTAATTTTACTTGTGTTGACTACAATTCATAGTAGTCAGAAACAAATGAGAAACAGTTAAAGCAACTCATCTCAGCAGTCAGTGTACATTAAATTGTAAATCCTTCTATAAATCATATGACCTATTTTATTTAAGATATCTAACTGATGGCTAGCAAATGGAATAGCATTTTCAAGTATTGTGTAGGTCTAGAAACATAGTTTTGTGTACTAAAATTAAATCTGTGTTATTAAATATGTATGCCATATAATAAAATTTTTGCTTAAGGAAAAGCAAACTATGTAAGTGTTGTGTGTTTTATTAAGTGTATTTTTAATTGCAAGGGGTAAAAATATTGTTCTAAAATTTGATAGACATTATTTTGCAAAATGCTTCAAGTTTTTCACTGAAGTTTGGTAGCTTCAGGGCTCTGTCAGATTGAAAAATGCCAATACCAGGAGACTGAGATGGAATAGATATTCAGCCTGGCAGACTTGGGTGTGTATTAAAAGAATAAGTACATCTTGCCTGGTCAATCACAGCATCACAATTATAATAAGTGATAAATATTCGGTCATAAAGGGAAAACAGATGAAGTTTGAGAAGGATAACTGAGGATGTATGATTAAAAACATACCACAATAACAGAGAAACTTTCAATCTACAAGGTCATTTTTCTGCATTATCTCATATACTTTATCTGTATATAATTATCTGTGATTGATTTGTAAACTGAAAAGGTTGTTTTTGTAATAGCATGTTTCCACGTCTAATAATAAAAGATGATTTATGATTTAAATGATAAGATATTATTAGTTACTATGATTTCTTTAAAACTAAGAATTATTTATAACAATGTCTAATCATATATTTGACCATTCTTTTTGTTGATATTTTGCAGTGAGGCCCACAGTAATTGAAACTGATGTTTATGTAAATAGCATTGGACCAGTTGATCCAATTAATATGGTAAGTAAGAAATATTAAAAATCATTATCTGCCATAGAGATCTCTCAAGTGTGTACCTCTAAAATAGAATTGGGATGTGGGTAATTTTTGATAATTAATTCTGAAGTAATTCAGATGAACATGTACAATTACTTTGTGCCAGGTATTGGCAACTAGAGCTAAAATATACCTGTATCTAAGAATTTGTATTTCATTATTCCAATGTGCTGTGTTTGGTAGAACCATGCAAGTGAGTAACAAATTATCATCTAGTCCACCAAGAAGAGGTCCCTAAGGAAATCTGGAAAGAAAAAAAAATCAGAAAGCCTGTGGGGAAAGTAGTCAATCAGGGTGGGAAAGGGACTTACTGGCAGAGAAAGCAGCATGCACAAAGTCACGGAGGAAGGAAACAGCCTGATAAGATCCGGGGCAATTCTAGCAATTTGATGTTACTGAAATATAAAGTGCAAAGTAAGGAACTGAGGCAAAAGGGATATTTAAGGTCTTAAATAAGCCACAGTTTTGTAAGCCACCATAATAGGAAACTTGTAAATTGTATAATGTATGAATTGTATTATTTGGGATAAGAGAAATAACTGGAAACATTTTATCAGAGTAAATGTGGATTTACATTTTTTAATACATTATTCTTATAGAAGTATAGAAGATGGAAGTAAGATTCCAAATTAGGTTTACAGAGATCCGTTACAGGTTGTTGTATTAGTCTGGATAATAAATCTTCAAGGTCTTACCTACTGCAGTTGCAATCTAGTTGAAGGTGACAATAATATATTGTTTAAAAATTCAGTAATTTTTGAGAATTTGGTGACATTAATTTTGTGTAAGCTGACTCCCAGGTATAGAGAAGAAGAGGCTTTAAAATAGTAGAGTCATTACCAGATGTAGGAATACAACTTAGGCCCCTGTGTCCCAAGTGCTCATGGCGCATTCGGGAGGAGCTGTCCAACAGCATTTTGCCTTACAGACCTGCTATCAGGGAAGATGTTAGGATAGAATATAGTTGTAGATGAGAAAGGGAAAGGAGACAAACAGCATATAGTACAGCTTACGACATCAAGAATGTGTGAGATGATCTAAGAGAAGACTCAGATTAAGAAGATCGCAGATCTGAGGACCAGATGGTGTAATGAGATGAATGTATATAAAATACAGTTGGCAGAAAGGGAAGCACAGAAAGGGGACATATTCAGAAACGTCAGAGGGGTAGGAGAAGAAATGAGAGAATATGATATTATAAAACTGAGAGAGTAAAGAGGATAAAGGAGAGGAGTATGATAATGAATTACAAATGGACATGAGAATATAATAAAAATGATTTAAATTGTGATCACTGGCATTGGCACATAGGTGGTGGTGATGATCTTTGTTAGAAGAGATTCAGTTGGAATGGTGAAGGCAAAGAGGGATAACAGCTGGATTGTACATCCCTCTTTCATCCTCAAAGCTGGTCACATGCCCAAACATTTCTGCCATAGAGCCCTGAGAATATATATGGTTCCTGCAGGGATAGTCATGTAGTCATGTGCTGGTTTCTGGGTGCTAGGAAGTGAGTGAGAATGTAGATTTAATTTTATAAACTACTATTTTGGGAAACTTGGCTTAGGAGAAGATGAGATAAGAGTATGGGGATAGAGAAAGTAGAGGAGAGAATACGAGCAGTAAGGGAAAGAGAGAGAATATCAGAAAATATCAAGACAGGAACATTTAGAATAAAAATTCAGCAAGTGTGATATTCATTCTTTGTGTTTTATACATAGAATAAATAGTGTTTTATTACTAATGAAGAACACAATTAACAACACTAATGTAAGTAACAGGCATTATTTAAAATAATAATAAAAAAAGATTTCATGATGTTCCATTCCAAACCCTAATAATCTATTCTGTGAGTCAAACTACTGGGTTCCATTGAATGCATTCAGTAATGTCTTCTTCTCCTCTCCTTCACTTATGCCTTTGGTATCAATCCACTAGCGTTGCCACAACAAAGTAGCACAGACGGGGTGGCTTAAATGACAGCAATCTATTCCTTACAGTTACAGAGGCTGGAAGTCTAAGATCAAACTGTTGGCTGGTTTCGTTTTGTTTTAGGTCTATCTCATTGGCTTGCAGAAAGCCACTTTCTCACAGTGTCCTCAGATGGTGTTTTCTCTGTTCCCATGTATCCCTGGTGTCTCGTTTTGTATTCGACTTGTCTCTTCTTATCACAAGTCGTATTATATTAGGGCCCACCTTAAAAGCTGCATTTTGACTTTAAAGGTTTTGCCTTTAAATATAGTCACCTTCTGAAGTTCTTGGGATTAAGTCTTCAACATATTAATTTAGGGGGTAACACAGTTAAGCCCATAAGACATTCAAAGATAATTCTCAAATACTTTGCTGATTTTCTTATTCATTTTATTTATTCAATATTAAAACAGTCAAATCATCTCTTTATTACCGGCTTTGCCACTTTATAGCTGATGGACCTTTATAATTTGCCTATCAGTTGCCTGTATATGCTTACTCCTCTGGTCTGACAGTCACACTTACTAAGAGTAAGTTTTTCTCTTACTCGATGTAATCTTCATATGACTCATCAACTTTTACAGTTGTCTGCACTGATTATTGTAATTACAGCATTTTAGCCACACCATAAGTGACATCTTTGTCACCTTAGTGCAAGCAAATATGAACTGGCTGTGGCTAAATTGAATTTGAGAGGATGAAGGAATGTTCCATCAGATTGACCTAGAAGTTAGTCTTAAATTAGGGGCTAATATTCAGGGAAAAGTAGAGGCTGGGGCCAAGTCTTTGTCCAGAATGCTAAACCTCTGTGAGATGAGGGATCCAGCTTTAAAATGAAGACAGATGAAAAAAGAAATGAACAGCAGATCTTAGGGAACACATGCATTTAAGGACCTGAAAAATGAAGCTGAGACAGTAAATGACACATCAAGGTTGGTAAGAAAATGACAAAACTACCGAGAAAACCAAGTGAAGAGAAAGTTTCAACAAGTCTTTTTCGTATTAGTTCTACCCAAAACAAATTACTATACAATTAGTTGGTTTTGCAAACAGAAAAAAATTAATATACATGTGTAATAGGTTATATTTTTAATAATATGCAAATATCAGATTTCATAAAGTAATACATTGCTAAAATGTTAATTATTTTTAGTAGAATATTGTAATGTTTAGTTTCTAAGTAAGCAATGCCTAGAGAAAATAAGCCTGTTTGAGCATGTGGGAAAGTCTGCATTTTTTTGAATTGTACATTTTTTGTTTGGGGTTTTTGTTTTTAATTTGCATGAATACATTAAATAAAAGTATGATCATTAAAGTAAAGAGAAACAAGATTTAAGTATGTATTAGTATTCTGGAAACACTTTGACGATAATGGCTACTAACAGGCTTCTATGATGATCTTCCTATATAAAAAATTAATGATATTAAAGCTTTAGTTTCCCCCATTGTGACAAATTACACACACTTTTAACTTTGAACAGTGATAGTTTAAAAAAAAAACCTAATTAAATAAAGTTACTAGTGATACTAAAACAAGTAAAAATAAATAAACGAACCCTATGGAACACTTGATAGTGTTCATTAAAAAAAAAAAAAAGGCATTGTAGCACTAGGCATGAATAAGAAATAGGTTAGCAGAGTATTTTAACTAAACAATGCAGGGAAATTAGAATTCACTTTTCATAAAATGAGCAAAATTGCTTTGAATGTGAGTGGAATCAAGGAAGCCAATTGAGCATAATTAAGCAAGCAAGAGGGCGCCACCCCTGTAAGTACTCATCTCATTTAAGTTACTAGTAAGGAACAAAATTAATGTATTACTTTGTTTTTGCTAAGTTAGCCAAAATTTGTTTTGCTGCAAAATGGGTGTTTCTTTTTAAACTTAGATACATAAAATGACATTTCTATAGATTACTGAATAATGTCTAAAGCATCATTATTTTACAATGGAATATGCTTTTCTTTTTACAGTCTAAAGAGAAACAGACACATTAATGAAGACTGGGGAAAAATAGAGTAACTTGAAAATAAGCTGTTCAACTTTATATATGCTCTGAGTAAAACTATCTTCAATATGAAGATAGATAGAACAAAAATACACAATCAGGATTCAAGTCAAGAACATGTTACTAGAGATTATCAGACAAAACAGTTGTAACTTCTTAACTCTTCAGATTCGGGGGGAGATTATGTATCTTTACTCTTCTGAGTAAATATTTCACGATGGTGGCTACCCTCTGACTAGCAAGTACAACACTCAAGGGCCATAGCAATTCTTTAAATCTAAGTCAAAATCAGTAAGAGCTCTAGGAAATTCAAGATGATATGGGTCTCTAACAGGAGGCTACAGCATAAGATTAGTAAGTACAAAAGTAGCCACAACTAAAAATTCCAGGTATAATTTGGACATGAATTTAATTGTAGAAACTGGTATACCCTTATATAATCCAATATTAAGAGATGACTAATATGGAAACTTTGAAATAAAGGGACAAGGAAAAGCTAATAAAAACTACTTAGGTCCCAGTTCTCATCCACAGAACTTAATTTAAATGTTTTCTAATTGGAAGAGTGATATGTCACACAGTCCTAAAATATACTTCTGAAACGGAATAGAATCCTCCTGCTGGAAATTGATTGGTCTTAGTAACGGAGACAAGGCTGAGGAGCAAGGGCACCAGCTATGAAGATGGCAATTTAAAAAGAAACTAGAAGGTCACCTGGGCTGTACTTGAAAATAACTGCCTTGACTACAAGGGGATGAAGAGTAGGCAAAGAAGATTAGGCAGACTTAGTGAATGACAGAGTGCTTTCTTTCTGACCTGTGCAGAAATATGTAACAGAAATGCCATTTTCAGCATCTTTTTTTTTTTTTTAACAGAAAAGGACAATCTATTCTCTACAAAAAAAAAAAAATCCTTTTTAAACAACAATGTATATGGAGCTACAGAAGTCACAACCATTATTTATTATAAAATGTAAATAAGGGATTT